ATACTCAGCTAAATTTCAAACTTTTTAACAGGGTCACAATTTAATGTAATTTTCCTCCTCTATTACTTGCCCCACATAAGCTGTTGTATTTGATAAAACATTTTACCCTGACTTTTTTTTAATATGCTGTTACTCTCTCAGATTTCAACAGAAAAGGAGACAGTGAAAGGGTGCATTTACTGCAGGAGGTTCCCTTTTTTTGTTGTCTGCTTACAGGTTCAGCTTATGACACATTACCTATTCTTCAATATAGGGCAGATGGTTATACAGCCCATGTACGCATTGACATTTTTGTATCCCTTGAATAAAGAGCTAAAAACAGTGTTTAAGAAGTTTTATTCCTTGAGATATTGTTCAGACAGGGTTTTGGACAGTTAGCTATTGAAGTAGGGATGATACAGCTGAAATATTAGCATCCATTTTCTTATGCTAGATAGTAATGTTACTACTGAAATTCTTTTATTGAAGATTCATTTTGTCTTTTACTGAGGTAGTTAAAAGCCTAAACACCTGCCCCGAAGTCTGGAGTTATATTCCAGTCAATAATATTTTGAATTTTTGCAGACTGAGCTGTTGCATAGCTCTGTGTATTGAACAATCACTTGCCTGTATTTTCACTCTTTATGAAAAAAAATCCAAGTTTTTATTCCATGTCTTTCACTGTGTGACACTACTGACTTCCATATCTTAACATTTGAAACACATTTCTTTATCTTCATAAACTTGGCTAAATTTCATTAGCAGTAAATAGTATTAGGTTGATGGATCACAGAGAAAACAAGCAAAAATCTAAAGCCATATCTAACTCCACTCCTTAAAAACCAACATTATCAGCAATTAGATATTCCCTTGTAGTCTCCCTGTAGCCAAACAGACAGGGGAAATTACAAATTACTCCCCACAAATAACACCTTCACACTATAAGTTGAGAGCTATGGATCATCTCATCACAGTCTTCTGTTGAAAGAGCTATAGGTGAAGCACCTGCCTTATCTTTAAAGATCAAATCTTATATTTATTTTTTTTTATAACACCAGCATTTACTTTGGATTCAGTCTATAAACTTCAGTAAAGGCTAATATTTACACATTTTTTTGTTTTTATTTTGCTTTTCTGAAATCACTACCAGCAACAAAGAGAGGAAAATGCCACCATAATAAAAAAAAAAAAATAATAAATCTATTGAAAACACACAAAAGTAATTTCTCAGAAGATACTCACCATGCATATAACCATAAATTCACCCACAGAAATATTATTATCTCACAATTTTTCATAAGCAGAAAACACCAGCAGTTTTCAAATTGCAGTAGTTTCCTGCTGTAGATATTGGTGATTCAGGTTTGTTCTAAAAAGAAAATTAAGCAAAAAATTAAACATAAAAAAAAAATTTCAATCTAGGGGGAAAATTTACAAATAGTAGCCTATGTTATTCACAGTCCAAAGAAAACCCATTAGTTTAGCACAGAAATTATAGTAAAGCAAAATACACAGTTCTCTGTTCCGTTTCTTGATGATATTTAAGTTTTGTAGACAACATAGTAATTGGTTTGTCTATTAGCATCAACTTATTTTCATTTAACACCTGTAATAGTTCTGCACAAATGTGTTGCTATGCAGTGGTTTACTGAAAAAAAAATAGCAAAAAAGAAAAATAGCCAATTCCATTGTAAGCATTCATGTTTAAAACAATCTTTTCTTCATTAGAGCTGCCCAAAGCTGCTCTTAAAGAAGGAACAAAACATAATCAATATAGGTGATTTCAAGAGTGAAGCTGTAAAAGAGCTCAAATGAGCCCAGGCGTATGTATATTTACATTTACAAACTTGGGCTGACTGATGACTTGAACTACCCTCGGAACCAGGAAAAAAGGCAGAGGTTTCTGCTGTTTTGTCATCTTGAGCTTCCTCAAGCAGGTCATGAAAGGATGAATCTCTAGCACTGAGCTCCACATCTTGCTCACTAACTGATGTGCACAGTCTGTGGTTTCTGCTGCTCTGGAGCACAGCCCTTGTAGGAATCTCCCACCATCCCTGAATTCCTTATAAAACCACCCCGATATCTAAAAGAGTTTTAGGTGAAAAATGTTGCAGATGACCACTCCATGGAAATGCAATTTGTTTTAACCCAGAGGATCTACATTTCAGTCTTTATGCAAGATTCTTTTCAATCAAAGTTATGATTGATTTTGTAAAAAAAAAAAAAAAAGGATGCAAGGGGATGCCAACTTATTGAAATTTTTCCCTTCACAAAATGAAGGTTAGAAGCAGGATCAGATAAGATGCTGTACATGATAAATCTTAGGTTTTTGGGTCCTACTAAATGGTAAAAAACAAATACAATGATAGATTACAGAGTAGAATAATGGTACCTCCACATATTCAGGGAAGGGTTTGGTGTTAGCTTCCTTCTTATTTTTACACATCTGGGTGGTTGTTGTGCACATCAAGGCCATATCCCAATTACTGAATTCACATCCCCCCAAAAAAAAAACAATCTGCTTAAACAACTGCATCTGCTGGCAAGGACAGAAGATGCTCTGTTGCTGCATTTTGTAAACAACATAAGGAGCAAACCAGAGAGGGTGTTCCAGCTGACACACACAACCTAACAGCTGTGCTGAAAACCAACCACCTGACCCTGCACAGAGCCTCCTCCAGCACAACCATGCTAGACTAACTCACCTAAGGAGAGAGATTAGTCTGATCTTGCTATTAATTAGGTGCCTTTTTATACTTTGTATTTTAATTTCAATGTATTTTAATGAGACAGCAGTAAAGACCAAGCACCCAAACAAATAAACAACCCAAAAGAGATTTCAAAGGTCACTGCCCTTCCTCCCTACTTCTTTTCATTTTGATGTTTGGACTCTTCTTCATCCATTGGTGCAGAAGAATACTACAGCTTCCACAGTTTGTTAGGCCTCAGTCACACTTGAAGATGAGCCACTAAAATGTCCAGATCATCACCCACATTTTCAGTGGTCTTTTCCTTCAACAACAATTTAACGTGCAGCTTCAAGTCATTGGAGATTAATGAGTTGTAAGAGAAATGCAGAAAAATGTGCCAAATGTAGACGACAGAGCTGGAAAAGGCAGGTGTATGGAAGGAAGCACCTGGACAAGGAAGCTACTGAGGAAAGATTGATGCAGGTGTAAACTAAAACAACTAAATGGATTAAAAGAGCAAATGAGAAAGAAACTAGAAAAGACTTCATAAGATATTTATTCTACAGACAAAAACTGGAGAGATAAAAGCTCCTCTGGACCATGAAGAAGACTAGGAGAAAGGTAAGACAAGAACAACGAGAGAAGCTAAGGAAATTGCAGGCTATGAAAACATCACAGGCTAAGTAGGAATTCTAAGACAATAGAGAAATAGAATTATGTGAAACAGGGGCTGTTGAACAGGAAACAAAACAGATGAGTGAACAATGCTTCAAAAATTAAGGATGAAATTATGCTTTAGAAGAAAAATGCAGAATATGGACTGAATAGGTTACACAATGCATAGATTCATGTCACAATAGGTTGAGGGTGACAGCAAAAGGAAATTATTATTTGAGGGGATTGCTGAATGATCCTTTCATGTTATTTTTTAGTAAAATCTCTTGGCTCACCCTGTAGAATAGACTGAGCCAAAGGTGACCCTTGTTTTTGTCCTAGGGGACAGCTGAGATAGAAGAGGGGTTCAGTAGACAGGCTCACTTTAGAAAAGATGCTTACAGATTACATTAAACTAGAGAGGGCTTGACAGGATTGCTTCAGCCTTTTCCTAGAGAGAAATCAGGTTTACTTTGGATTCGATCTCAGAGTTGGGTGCAAACATGCCCTTTCAGGCAACCTTTCAAAGCAGGGCCACTCCTTGCCCTGGATCAGCCTCCAGGCAGAGCAGATTGTTTTCACCTTATCTTGGAAAAACTTTCCAGTTGGAGGCTGTCAGCAGGGACTCAGTATGAATCCTGCAGAGCATGTTGCAACCCAGGTCAGACATGGAGCTAAAAGGGTGCCAGAAAAAGAAAGTAACCATGAAAAAACAACAGCAAAAAAGCTACTAAGTAAAATAATTAATTGCACATTCTAGTTCAATTATCCTGGGAACAGAGAGCAGCTTTTCACAATCATCATCACCAGGTAACACAACCACTGTCTTTTTAATCTCAGTTCTATAGGAAGTGCCAGTAGATGAGAGCAGAACAAATCTGCTACCAAATGTTCCACAAGAGTAAAAATGTGGAGTCCACTGTCCTTTAAAGCCTTGCTTTAAAGTTCCTTGCTTAAAGAGCAAGTTTCAAAGTGCCTGTATTGCCACCAGTGATAAACATCTACAGTGTCCAATTCCCATGAACCTATGCAGTAGTCAGTCTCCTGTTTTGTTTCCATTTACTTCAAAATTATGAAATTGATACTGAAAGAGAAGACTAAAAATTATAGCCAGTTTGTTTTATAAATTAATGGAAGGAATTTATGTTAACTGACACATTTACAGGAATAGCCGAGTAAGAATTATTAATAATGGAGGTTTTTTTAACAAAGCTTTTGAAAATGGATTTAGACTAGGAGGTCATCTAGGGGATAACCAAAACATAGACTCCAAAATTTCTAACCTGGGAAGAACAGATATAATTTTGAGATGAGGAATCCGTCTGTGGCTTTGATTATATTGAGGATTTTTTTTTTTTTTTTTTTTTTTTTTTTTTTTTTTTTTTGTGAAAAGGAAATTGTTTAAGAGAAGCGTTCCTGATTTAAAAAAATATATACATCACTGTTTAGAGTCTCAGGCTCTTTATGTGAAAAAGTATGGAACCATGCAGTAAGTTTGTGTTTCCAAGTTATCACCTAGTTATAAAGACAACATTGAAAAGAAACTAATGAAATTCCAAGGTACTCTAGGATGGCTGTTTTATTCTGATCAGTGGTAGATTGCACTATTGACCAAGTGTCAGACATAGAGCAATTCAGTGATTGAATAAAAGTGGATACATAATCAGAGCAGAGAACTTTGCCAGGACTAGCTCTGTTCCTTTTCCTGTAATACCAAAAGAAAGCACCTCTCATTTCCCCTTTCCTTCTCTTTGCCATCCACACCTTCATTCTCCTGTAGAGTGCAAATACATTTTCATTCACCCCCTCTCTTTCTTTCACTGCTGCCCCCAGATAAAATAACTCAAGGTGCCTTAGCTGGAGACACTGATGAAATGTTGGAGACCAGATAATAATCTATTATCTGTTCTGTAGGTGTGAGATGTGATGAGGATGACAGAGGATCCTGCTCTGCAGGCCTTAAGTAGCTTGAGCAAAAGATATTTAGATCTGTCTTTGGACACTGCAAATCAGTTATTATGGGAGGGGGAGAGCCCTTGGGGAAACCTACCTTGAACCATATTTCAAATGCCAGGGGACTTGCATGAAAATTGGGTAATGAATGAAATTCTGATTGCAGAAAAATCGCTTAGGGATGTGCCTGCTGTTGCATGCCACTGCTCTCTATGTAAACCCTAAATGCTTAATGATGCAAACTTTTGTACTGCAGATTTTGTAATGCATTCCCTCCTTCAAACTGCTTTTTCCTCTTGGGCGAGGGGGGTGTTGGTTGGAATACTAGTTTTGTCTGCTGGAAAAAGATGAATAATTCAGCAGCTGCTGTGATGGTTTAATAGCACACAAGTCCAGGTGTGAAGGAAGTAAACTTTCTCACTGGGATGTCAGAGTTGCCCTTACAGAGAATCAACAGTGTGTCTGGAGCTAAGCTGTTGCCAGGTCTTAAGTAATATATTAACTTCCCAAGAAGAGATGTCTCTGTCATTCCACCTAGAATTTATTATGCAGTTCTTTTTCAGGATTTAGTTCCAGTGGAAGGAATTTCTTTCTTATCAAAGGCAGAAAGACTAGACCCTACACTTCCTCAACACCATAAACAACATAGCTTAAACCAGAGCCTCAAGTTCCATCTGGGGCATTGCCTTTTTACAAGGGCTTTTGCAATGTAGATATTGAGGTACTTTTACCATTCCCCATCCTGAATATCTGGGTTTCTGCAGCTGAATATCAGCCACCTCAGCCCTGGCCCTACGGAGCTTTCCATCCACACAGAGCTGAGCCACCTCTGGCAGGCTGTGTGACACCTACTCACCTTTTCAGCTGCAGACTGAAAGACAAAAACATACTGCCATCTTGCTGTCCTATTCTATTATGTATTATCAGAGGTGTGCAGATTGAGAAGTGAAGGGGAGGAAGGGAAAAATTGGAAATCTGAG